ATATATGAAGTCGCAACGATCATAATTCATCAGCAACCAAACTTGTTGCTCTGCCCCCTGTAATACCGGACACGTCCGGCAGGTATACCGGACACGTCCGGTATACTCAGGACAGAAACAGTGAACCTTTTGGTTTGTGATTCTTCGTTAGGTTCTAATACTTCTTGTGTATACCTGCATCTCGACAAATAGATTGCTCTACAAAGAGCCATTAAAAGCACCATATGGCAAGCACTAATATTCCCAAATGAATCTATTTAGCCACTTTCAATATTTCACAAGTATGCCTATTTGTGAGCTATTGAGCAAGTTGAAAGCAAAGTGGCTATCTTATAGGGTTTAGGTACTCGTTACCAAGGTGAGAATGAAATAGAGGATATGATCAATTTTTATTCTTTGGGTCAAGCATATAAGAGATTATGATAAGCATTGGTTGATAGGTTGAGTGAATATTTTCAATTAGATTGCTCAATCACCCCGAGTCTTTCATCTCACTACCAAGTACCTACATCAACATCCTAAGCACACTTTGGTATCCAACTCTTGTTGGGTCCTTTTGAGTTAGTCAACAAGTGCTTAGGCATCCAAATGGCCTTAGTACTAGTTTGTGGTGAACACATCACCTTGCTAGTGCTAACTCCATTTGTGGTCCTCCTAAGCATATCATTATAACCAAATGTGTTTGGCTTATGGATGTTACCATTTGGGCAATCATAGTTTAGATGCCCCTTTCTTCTACAAGCGTAGCATATGCGGCCTTGATTTGCTCTATGCTTGTTTTGTTTGTTGGAACACCTATCGATCATGTGCCCCATCTTATTGCATCCATAGCATCTTCTTATTGTAACTTGGACCTTCTTTCTTGCCTCTTTGTACAAGGGGCAATTCTTGGTAGGATGGCCCAACTTCTTGCATATGAGACATGCACTTGGTTCATCACTCTTCATTTGCTTGGCCACCTTGGTGGAAGCCTTTTGATCGGTGGCTTCAACCTTGTCGGCCCAACTCTTGTGTGGACACATAGCCCACTCATGTCCGTACAATCCACAACCATAGCATAGTCTTTTTCCATGCTTCTTGCTCTTGGTTGCTTTGACATTGCTTGAGTTGTAATTCTTTTGTTGGGTTTTGAAGGGAGCAAGGTTTGAACCCTTCTCAAGCTTCTTCACCATGTGATCACGGTTATCTTAAGAAGGTTGTGCTTCCTCCTTACCCTTCAACCGAATCACATCCTTTCTTAGCCTTTCAACTTCTTCTTTGAGCTCATTATTTTCTAATAGATTTTGCTCAATCGAAGATTGACCTACTTGAGAAGCACACTCATTAGTACAAGAAATATTCAATTGAGATGGTGTACGTGTGAGTGTGTGAGTGAGAGGTTGAGATGATTTTACTGATGTAATCATAACCTCATGAGATACCTCAAGCATGAAATGTGATTCTACTATTTTTTCATGTGAGCACTTTAGATGAACATGGTTGGCTTGGAGAATATTGTATTTGCTTGATAGTTCATCTAGTCTTGTCTTGAGCTCAATGTTTTCCTTTTCTAGTTGTGTCACACTAGAAGCGGAGTTAGTAACCAAAGCATGCTCAATTGACAATTTTTCATACCTCTCATTTAAAGCCTTTAGCTCTTCCATCTTGGAGATGAGAAACATTTCTTGCTTTTAAAGTGATTGTTCTTGCTTCTCATTCTCTTCTTCAAGCTCATCATTCTTTTTCAACTATCTTCATGATGATAAACTTGTCTTTGCGATTGAGATGATCAAGATTGTAGTTGTCTTCAACTTAAACATCACTCTTATCTTGATCATCCACTTATGCTTTCTCCTTTTCTTGATCTTTCTTGCTACTCTGTTTCTTGCTTTCTTGGCCATGAGACACAAGTGATGAGTATCATTAGATACTGAGGTTGACTCGTCACTTGGCCTCCATTGAGGTTGATCATTGTCGCAGACACCAACTTGCTGTCTTGCTGCTTCACCAATACCAGACACGTCCGGTAGTGATACTAGACACGTCCAGTATGTGCAGCCAGGCAGCACTGCATTTGCGGCTTTGAAAAGTCCTAATATGGCTAGAGGGGGGTGAATAGCCTATTTAAGAATCTACAAACCAACTAGAGAAATTTGATTAGTTTGACAAATAGCAAAATGCAAACTTGCTCTAGCTCTACAAGGGTTGCAAGCCACCTATCCAACGATTCTAGTTACTATGATCACTAAACACATAATTTGCTAAGTTACTACTCACTAAGAGCTCTCACAATTGCTACACTAAAGAGCTCCACTAGATGAACTTAAACTACAAAGCAAGCTCTCAATTCTAGCTACACTAAAGAGCTTGTTATAACTAGTTTGCGAGAATGTAAATAAGTGAGTAGGGTGATTATTGTTGGGAGTATGCCCTAGAGATAATCATAGAGATGATTGTATTTCCTTGTATCCATGATATATTATGAGTTCATTTGAATATCCATTAAAGACAACTTGTATCGATTGGCAATTATGTGAATTGTTTGTGAAACTCTTTTACTTGTATGGTTATTCTAAAGTTGTCCCTAATCAGAGTTCTTGTGAGGACACACATGAATATTAGATCAGCACATTATTAGTTGATGACTATGTTTCACAAGTCATAGACATGGAGATGTCAAACTAATAATGTGGGCACATGTATGACATGGGGCTGGACAGACCCAACGTCAGATGTTCTTATTATCTCTTTACACATCATGTACGTTATGTCCTTAGACCTGAGATTGTCGTATGTACTCAAGATGTGAAATGACCTACTTAGGGACTATCAAACACTACTCCGTAACTAGGTAGTTGTAAAGGTGGTTTTCAAGTTTGTCGGGAAACATGTTGTGAGACATAGTCAATCAAGATGGAATTTGCCCCTCTTCATGAGAGAGAGAGATATCACTAGACCACTCGAATGATTTGGATCAAGAAAATGCATGGCCGTGCTTGGGTTAATAGGTAACCCACGAGTTGGACCAAATATCGTGTGACAAAGGGAATAACATGTATGTGGTTTTGTGGTGGTTCGTCTGATATGATCTTTACGTATGCATAGGAGTTGACACGCCTTGCTAGAGGCCGCTGCCAACTATTGACCGAATAGGAGTATTCGAGCCATGTCTATGTGTGCGTGAACCCATAGGGTCGCACGCTTAAGGGGCTGGAAGCCTAATTCGGATTGGACCTGAATTAGACAAGGTTTAGGGTTGCTAATGGGCCTCCAACTCGGGAGCTCATTAGGACGCCTATATAAGCAAGGGGAGGGCGGCAGGGCTAGGTCAATCCATGCCATTTGTCAGCCGCTGCCCTTCCCCATGCCCACGCCTTCGTTCCTCGTGGACCTAGCAGTCCGAAGGCGCGACGCTTCCTCCCTGTACGTGTGGATACCTCGGAGGTGCTGCATCTGGAGCACAAGAATGAACCGCATGAGAGGGACGGGCAGAAGGACAACCACGCAACTGCACGACACTGCTGTGACGTGCATGACTACACCGAGTCGCTTCCGCTGCACCTACGCGTCTAGTGGTAATCCCGTGATCCATAACTAGCGGTAGTTCCTGGTTTATGGGGTTGAAATTTTTGTTTTTCGGCTAGTGTAGCAACCTCATAACCCTTCAGTGGTATCAGAGCCATAGCTGTGTCGTTATGGATTCAGATGTATGAATATGGATATATGCATGGTTGTAGATGTCTTTCTGATCATGGTTCGTGATCTCGCTATATTGGTCTTGTAACGATCTACTCGTACCGGTCGGAATTCCGCCATCCGAGTTAAGTGATACATGTAAACCCAGTCATGGTGAGTTGGAGATCAATTAGATTGATCGAATCGAACCTAGGTCAAGAGCCGAGCGCATGTGATGCGCGGTGGTGGTAGATTGGATCTATTACCGGGCGCCGGGGTGCAAGAAAAAGTGATGTTCGGTAAAACGGCCGTAACTTTTGCATACGACCTCGGATTGAGACGATTCTTAAACGAAAATTGTAGAGAAAAAAATTTTTACATCCGATTCTCCCCACTTCATAGGGTTCGCTGAATTTATTTTTGCGAAAAAAGGCCAGGAAGATGGTGTTTTTGGCGTTTTAAGATTAGACGTTGGAATCGGTTAACTCTATTTTGCAGGATTTCATGACTGGTATAGCCCTTATGTGTATGTGATGCATGTATGTAATTAATTCATGGCTTGCACGTCATGAGGATGACAATATGGGCTGGAGCCTCATAGATATTGTCAACATTATTGTAATGGCCTGCGTGCCAAACTGTGATGATCCTATCCGCGACTATGTAATTTTAGTTCACTGTCTTGCGTTAGTGATAGCTAGTCTTGGCGGACTCATCACTGAAGGATGGCATACATGGATCATGGAGATTAATGGAGATGGAGATCCCCAGAGGAATAATGGGCTATACCAAGTTATATATGTGTTAATGCTGTTCTTACTATGTTCTACTTTCACGTGCAATAATGTTTTTGTCTACATGCGATAGTGAAGTAGAACGATACCTCAGCAATGTTTAAGTTGAATTGCTCCCCCAAACCTTGCACTGTCTTTGGTCTTGTACAATTAGTGGTGGGTCTATGAAATTAGGGTGCCACTGATTTTCCTTGACTAGACAGGTTCGTATCGGATACTTACAGTAGAAAGGTTGGTTACTTGAATAAGGTCATCCTAACGGTTAGGGACCTTGGAGCATAAGGAGTTGGGCGCTATAGCATAGATATGCTACCCAACAACAAGAGTCATATGTGATATGATTAGCAAAGAGTTGCTTACCGATCTACCATGTCTTCTAGAGGTGATGCTAAAGCTCACTAGTAGACTTGTTAGTTGTGGGTCTTGAATCACTAAGTTTCAATAGAGGGATATTGATTTTAGTGGAAGTAGATTCTATTAAAGGCTTAATATTATTTACTCTATCATGGATACATTGTCTTAGTATTTTTGCATTACTTTTGTTATAGATAAATGGTGCCTACCAATCAACCGTTTACTTTGCGTTCAATTCTTGAGAAAGATAAGTTGAATGGAACAAACTATGCAGATTGGATCCGCAACCTAAGAATTGTTCTCAGGGCTGAGAAAAAGAAAGATATTCTAGACACCCCATTACCTATAGAGCCTACTAATAATGCACCTGCTGTTCAGAAAAACGCTTACAAGAAGGCATGTGATGCTGATCTTGAAGTGAGTTGCCTTATGCTTGCTTGTATGGAACCAGATCTGTAGATGCTGTTTGACAACAACCATGCAGCGTACGATATGATCGTGGCGCTCAATGATATGTTCCAGACTCAAGCCAGGACTGAAAGGTTCAATGTCTCAAAGGCTTTTATTGAAACCAAGCTAGCAGAGGGCGCAACAGTAGGGCCACATGTGATCAAGATGGTTGGTTACACTCAGAGGTTGGAGAAGCTAGGCTTCCCAATTGGCCTAGAGTTGGCTACTGATTTCATTCTCGCGTCTCTTCCACCTAGCTATGGGAACTTCATCTCGAACTACCATATGCATGGGGCGGAAAAGGGCTTGAATGAATTGTGTGGCATGCTTAAAACTTTAGAGGCTGATATCAAGAAAGGTGCTGGCAGTAGCCATGTGATGGCGGTCCAAAATAAGCCCCGATTTAAAAAGAGGGGCAATTCTTGGAAGAAGAAGAAGGGCAAGGCTAAAGGTGAGGCTAAAGGTGAGAACTCTAAGCCAAACCCACCTGCGCCCAAGGCTGGACCAACTGCTGACACTGAATGCTATCATTGTAAGGGGAAAGGTCACTGGAAGAGGAACTGCAAGCTATACTTAGAATCCATGAAGGATAGCGGTGGTAAAGGTACTCCCGCAATTTGTACACTTGTTGTTTATGTTACGGACATTTTCCTCGCTGACTCTTATATAAATTCTTGGGTATTTGATACCGGATCGGTTGCTCATATTTGCAATACGATGCAGGGAATGATAAGAAGTAGAAGCGTGGAAAAGGGAGAAGTTGATTTCCGCGTGGGCAATAATGCAAGAGTTGCTGCGTTGAACGTCGGGACGATGCAACTCCACCTCCCGTCAGGATTTATTTTGGAATTGAATAATTGTTATTTTGTTCCTAGTTTAAGTCAAAACATTGTGTCACCTTCATGTTTGATGAAGGATGGTTATTCATTTACGAGTAAAGACAATGGTTGTGTTATCTCTAAGAATGACATGTTTGTGGCTTTTGCATCCATTGTGAATGGGTTATTTATTTTAAATCTTGATGATGCACCTGTCTGTAATATAAGTGCTAAAAGGCCTCGGCTTAATGAGTTAAGTCCTACCTATATGTGGCATTGTCGTTTAGGTCATATAAGTGAGAATCGCATGAAGAGGCTCCATGCTGATGGGCTTTTAACTTCGTTTGATTTTGAATCATACGAGACATGTGAGGCTTGTTTGCTAGGGAAGATGACCAAGGCGCCTTTCACAGGTTTTCCTGAGAGGGCGATAGACTTGTTGGAACTTGTACATACTGATGTATGTGGACCAATGAGCATGATAGCTAGAGGCGGATTCCAATACTTCATAACCTTCACTGATGATTTTAGTAGATATGGCTATGTCTACTTAATGAAACATAAATCTGAGACATTTGAAAAGTTCAAAGAATTTCAGAATGAAGTAGAGAATCAACGTGGCAAGAAAATTAAGGCCTTGTGATCTGATCGTGGAGGAGAATATTTGAGTCACGAGTTTAGCAACCATCTAAAGAGTTGCGGAATTGTTCCACAGCTTACGCCACCTGGAACGCCTCAGAGAAACGGCGTGTCCGAGCGATGTAATCGGACTTTGTTGGACATGGTTCGGTCAATGATGAGCTAGTCAGACCTACCTTTATTGTTTTGGGGATGCGCTCTAGAAACAGCCGCTTTCACATTAAATAGGGTACCATCTAAGTCCGTAGTTAAGACACCATATGAGATGTGGAATGGTAAGAGTCCCAGTTTGTCTTTTCTAAAAATTTGGGCTTGTGAAGTTTATGTCAAACGACTTCAGTCAGATAAACTAACACCCAAATCAGACAAATGCTTTTTCGTGGGATATCCAAAGGAAACTTTAGGATATTACTTTTACAACCGATCAGAGGGCAAAGTGTTTGTTGCTCGGAACGGTATTTTCTTAGAGAAAGAGTTTCTCAAAAGAGAAAAAGTTAACAGAAGGTGTATCTTGAAGAAGTTCAAGATGAGAAAACAGGGAAGGACTCTACGAGTGATGCTAATGTAGCAGAACAAGTTGAGATACCCGTGGCAGTAGAGGCATCGCCACAACCACGAAGGTCAACAAGAATCCGTGAGGCACGCGGGGAATTGTTATTGTTGGACGATGATGAACCTACGACATATGCGGAAGCAATGATGGACCCAGATTCCGAGAAATGGCAAAGTGCCATGAGATCCGAGATAGATTCCATGGGAGACAATCAAGTTTGGAACTTGGTTGACCCGCCTGATGGGGTTAGACCCATAGAGTGCAAATGGATCTATAAAAAGAAAAAGGATATGGATGGAAATGTTCACGTCTATAAAGCTCGACTTGTTGCAAAGGGTTTTCGGCAAGTTCAAGGAATTGACTACGATGAGACTTTCTCGCCAGTAGCGATGCTTAAATCTATCCGGATCATTCTAGCAATAGCTGCTTATTTCAATTATGAGATATGGCAGATGGATGTTAAAACAACCTTTCTAAATTGAAATTTAGAAGAGGACGTGTATATGATACAGCCCGAAGGTTTTGTTGATTCAAACAATGCTGGAAAAATATGCAAGCTTAAGAAATCTATTTATGGGTTAAAGCAAGCATCTCGGAGTTGGAACATTTGTTTTGATGAAGTAGTCAAAGGGTTTGGTTTTCATCAGAATGAAGAAGAACCTTGTGTTTACAAGAAAGAAAGTGGGAGTGTTGTTGTATTTCTAATCTTGTATGTAGATGACATACTATTGATTGGGAATGATATTCCAATGTTGCAATCAGTAAAGACTTCACTGAATAATAGTTTTTCTATGAAGGATTTAGGAGAAGCAGCATACATTTTGGGCATTAAGATCTATAGAGATAGATCGAAGAGGCTTATAGGATTAAGCCAAGATACATACATTGATAAGGTGTTGAAACGGTTCAACATGGAACAGTCTAAGAAAGGGTTCTTGCCTATGTCACATGGCATGCGCTTTAGCACTAAACAGTGTCCTTCGACAGCTGATGAGCGCAATCATATGAGTAAGGTTCCATACGCCTTGGCAATTGGTTCCATCATGTACGCCATGATATGTACACGTCCAGATGTCTCATATGCTCTAAGTGTTGCGAGCAGGTACCAAGCTAATCCAGGTGAGAGTCACTGGACACTTGCTAAAAACATTATTAAGTACTTGAGAAGGACTAAAGATGTGTTCCTAGTCTATGGAGGTGAGGAAGAGCTCGTTGTAAATGGTTACACCGATGCTTGCTTCCAAACTGACACGGATGATTCACAGTCTCAATCAGGATATGTGTTCACAATAAATGGTGGTGCGGTTAGCTGGAAAAGTTCCAAGCAGGAGACGGTGTCCGATTCTACAGCAGAAGCCAAGTACATCGCAGCTTCTGAATCTACGAAGGAAGGTGTTTGGATGAGGAGGTTTCTCATTGAACTTGGTGTGTTTCCAAATGCATCTAGCCCATTGAATCTGCATTGTGATAGCAATGGGGCTATAGCACAGGCCAAGGAGCCAATGAATCACAAAAAGAACAAACATGTACTTCAAAAATTTCACCTCATTAGAGAGTTCATCAGTAGAGGTGACATCAAGATGTGCAAGATACACACGGATTTGAATGTTGCAGATCCTTTGACAAAGGCTCTTCCACAGCCTAAGCATGAGACGCACATGAGAGCTATGGGTATTAAATATCTTCGAGATTGACTCTAGTGCAAGTGGGAGATTGTTGGGAGTATGCCCTAGAGATAATCATAGAGATGATTGTATTGCCTTGTATCCATGATATACTATGAGTTCATTTGAATATCCATTAAAGACAACTTGTATCGATTGGCAATTATGTGAATTGTTTGTGAAACTCTTTTACTTGTATGGTTATTCTAAAGTTGTCCCTGATCAGAGTTCTTGTGAGGACACACGTGAATATTAGATCAGCACATTATTAGTTGATGACTATGTTTCACAAGTCATAGACATGGAGATGTCAAACTAATAATGTGGGCACATGTATGACATGGGGCTGGACAGACCCAATGTCAGATGTTCTTATTGTCTCTTTACACATCATGTACGTTATGTCCTTAGACCTAAGATTGTCATATGTACTCAAGATGTGAAATGACCTACTTAGGGACTATCAAACGCTACTCCGTAACTAGGTAGTTGTAAAGGTGGTTTTCAAGTTTGTCGGGAAACATGCTGTGAGACATAGTCAATCAAGATGGAATTTGTCCCTCTTCATGAGAGAGAGATATCACTGGACCACTCGAATGATTTGGATCAAGAAAATGCATGGCCATGCTTGGGTTAATAGGTAACCCACGAGTTGGACCAAATATCGTGTGACAAAGGGAATAACATGTATGTGGTTTTGTGGTGGTTCGTCTGATATGATCTTTACGTATGCATAGGAGTTGACACGCCTTGCTAGAGGCCGCTGCCAACTATTGACCGAATAGGAGTATTCGGGCCATGTCTATGTGTGCGTGAACCCATAGGGTCGCACGCTTAAGGGGCTGGAAGCCTAATTCAGATTGGACCCGAATTAGACAAGGTTTAGGGTTGCTAATGGGCCTCCAACTCGGGAGCTCATTAGGACGCCTATATAAGCAAGGGGAGGGTGGTAGGGCTAGGTTAATCAACGCCATTTGGCAGCCGCCGCCCTTCCCCACGCCCGCGCCTTCGTTCCTCGTGGACCTAGCAGTCCGAAGGCGCGACGCTTCCTCCCTGTACGTGTGGATACCTCGAAGGTGCTGCATTTGGAGCACAAGGATGAACTGCACGAGAGGGACAGGCGGAAGGACGACCACGCAACTACATGGCACTGCTACGACGTGCACGACTACATCGAGTCGCTTCCGCTGCACTTGCGCGTCTAGTGGTAATCCCGTGATCCATAACTAGCGGTAGTTCCTGGTTTATGGGGTCGAAATTTTTGTTTTTCGGCTAGTGTAGCAACCTCATAACCCTTCAATTATACCGCCACGTAAAGGAGTGAACCAATCACAAGATGAATACTAATTCAATCACTGGGAGAACACCAAAGGGCAAGAGACAACCAATTTTTCTCCTGAGGTTCATGTGCTTGCCGGCACGCTAGTCCCCGTTGTGTCGACCAACACTTGGTGGTTCGACGGCTAAGAGGTGTTGCATGAACCTCGTCCACACAATTGGACACTGCAAGAACCTTCGCTCGATGATCCTCGCTGCCCCAAGCCGTCTAGGTGGCAACAACGACCAAGAGTAACAAGTGAATCCCGCAGCGAAACAAGAACACCAAGTGCATCTAGATGCAATCACTCAAGCAATGCACTTGGATTCTCTCCCAATCTCACAAAGATGATGAATCAATGATAGAGATCAGTGGGAGGGCTTTGGCAAAGCTCACAAGGTTGCTATGTCAATGCAAATGGCCAAGAGAGTAAGCTAGAGCCAGCAATGGGGCTTAAATAGAGAACCCCCACGAATAGAGCCATTGGCTCTCTGTTGCTTGAAAAGTCAGGGCGATCGGACGCACCGGTCAGATTGATCGGACGCAGGACCCCAGCGTCCGGTCCTCTGATGATTGCCACGTGTCATCAGCTTCAAATGTTGAGCACCTGATCTTAATGGCTAGTCTGCTTCGTGCCACGTGTTAAGTTGCGACCGGACGTGCTGCTCAAAGTGACCAGATGCTCCATCACTGGAGTCCGGTAGTTTCTAGTAAGGTTCTAGAGATAGTTTTTTGCGATCGGACGCGTCCGGTGGCTCATGACCGGACCTAGGCCAGTGCCCGGTCAACTCAGCCTCTCTCTATTGCTTGCGTTAGCGTACGTCACTAGGTGACCGGATGCACCTCCTGCGCGTTTGGTCCCTCTATATCTTAAGTGTCCGGTCAAGGGACCAAGGGTGGCCTTCACTGCGCACCACTGACCGGACGTAGGGTCAGAGTTCGGTCACTACCCAAGGCAGAGTCCGGTCAATATGAAATAGCTCCTTTTGACCCATAACTTCACCACCCTTGATCAAATGTCCCAACCACCAAGTGTATCACCTTGTGCACATGTGTTAGCATATTTTCAAGGTGTTAGCACTCTACTAGATCCTAAATGCATATGCAATGAGTTAGAGCATCTAGTGGCACTTTGATAACTGCATTTTGATATGAGTTTCACCCATCTTAATAGTACGGCTATCGATCCTAAATGTGGTCACACTCTCTAAGTGTCTCGATCACTAAACCAAAAAGCTTCTATTAATTTCACCTTTGCCTTGAGCTTTTTGTTTTTCTTTCTTCTTTTCCAAGTCCAACCATTTGATCATCACCATGCCATCACCATCATCATGTCATGATCTTTATTTGCTTCATCACTTGGAGTAGTGCTACCTATCTCATAATCACTTTGATAAACTAGGTTAGCACTTGGGGTTTCATCAATTCACCAAAATCAAACTAGAGCTTTCAGGCTTGCATATCTTGCTCTGGCTTGATGCTTTGATGGTTCCTTGAGGTTTCTCCACTGCATGAAGACTCAATGGACATGTCTTCCATTGACTCATACTCATGAGCCTCATCACATTTGGACTTTCCGTATAAATCAACAAGTCTAGTCCAAATGAGATGAGCACTCTCTGGAGGTGTTTGTCCATTGAAGATTGCCTCATCTAGAACCTCTGCACTCAATGTACTCAACATGACATTAATTGCCTGAGCATTGAGTTACACGCATATCTCTTTCTCTTTTAGAATATTTTTGTAGTTGCTCCAATCAACTACTGGAAGAGGTATGCTTGCTGTAACACCCCTGGTGTTACGAGCTAGCTTAGCACTGAGATTTAGGACCGAGAAGGATTAGCTTAACAAGTTTCCATTTTTAAAAAATTATAACGCACATGAGGCGAAAAACAATTTCTATGAACAAGGATCAAACATAACTTGTATTTAGTACTTGAATAAAAATTGAAGTGCAAGTTTAGTAGATGGAAAGGCAACTTTAACTTTTGGAAAATAGATGTTGTTAACTAGTGTTTTGGAGGCTCAAAAATCAAATTTGACTTTAAGATAAGCTCTTTTCGTTAAGTCGGCAAACACTTGAACTATTGTGTAAAATACCATTTTTGGCGAATTATATTGAGCAAAATAGTTAAATAGTGCTTAAATATTTTGCTCATATGGGTTAGTATAAGGTATGGACTATTGCATGAAATACTTGTTGGTAAGAGTTAATAGGGTTTTGGCCTTATAAAAATTGTAACAAAAGTGTTAATGACTGCTAGTTTGAATTGAATCCTTAACTTTTCTAAGTATGGAAAAGTAGTTAGACAATGCTATTTTGACATTTAATTTCTAACAAAAATGTTTAAACAGTAGCTACATATTTTGGTACTGTTGATTGCACCAAAGTGAGTGCTTGAGCATGGCATAGGTCGAAGTTGTGTTGGAGATCACGTTGCTCTCGTAAAAATTGCCCAAACATCATTGGAACGCGCTGTAAACCATGTTGATTGGTGCTTTGTTCGCGAACTGGCACTCCAGCGACGAACCCAAGTTGGCATCCTTTTATCTCCCGCTCTAGTTGCTCTCGGGTCATGACGATTGCTCCTCTAGCTAGCTGGTAGTGTCGACTTTAGGACAGTAGGATTGGTTGGACTTCGATTGAGATGATCGACATTCTTTGCTTCGCTTTAAAATGCGTGCACGGCACCGATCGCAGCTGCTCAGCCTAAGTCCACGGTCATTGCGCGCGCAGATGCTGTGGGTGTTGGTCTCACGCTTTGGCCGGGTCGCGGCCATGGATCAACCTTGTGCACGGTGGTGCCTCGCAACGCCTCGGCCTGGCGTTGGCCGACCCTGGCTAGCCGCGGTATGGCTCCCGCTGTGCCGTGCGCTAGGCTGCGCCGAGGCTATGGCTGCCGTCGCTCGGTCGATGTGGTGTCCGGCTCACCCCTCATATCACCTACCACGTTGTGCACTTGGCGTATGCCGCTGCCGCCATGTCTGGTCGTTGGCTCGGTCACAGGGGTGATCGGATGCCTTCCTACGTCATTTGCCTCTCTAGCCGACGCCGGTGCGACTGGCTCGGGTCCGGTCGCTCCAATTCAAGCGCGTCGCGTCGAGCCACCTGGTCTCGTCTCCTATGTGCATGAGCTCGCTCTGCCACCATACTGAAACCCCACTTTAACACGCCCTACCCCTCGAGCTCGTTCGCATGCTTTTCCCCATGACGTGGCCTTAGCCTGGGCACCGTGCCCGCCTTTCAAATTCGTAAGCCCATGGTTTCTCAGCTCATCTCCTCACGTTAGTAAGAAGCAAAGGAAGTTAGCTAGACGCCTTACTCTCGTTGGATCCAGCGGTGGTCTGGCCACAGCTAATTTTGGAATTTTGCTCATCGTCGGTCATGTGTGCCGCCGTGACCAAAGGGTTGGGGGTAAGGCTTGTAGGAGTGGTAACAGTTCAATTGCTCGTAATCCTGAGTTTGCCTTGACTCCCTCCATCCATTGCTAGCATTATTTTGGCCAGGGTGCTCGTCATCGGTGGGGTGACGCGCAGGTGTCCATCGCAGAGCACCACCGCCTCGCTCGGTCGCACGTGGCCAGACCGTCGCAGCGCTCCCCTACTTCAACTGTCATTAGGGCATACACCACGGTGAGCCATTGTGCTTATCCGCCACTTCTACTCTGCCAAGTGTATGTAGGCTCGCCGGAACAGTCGCGCCGCCACCGCA